TAAGTCCCAATAACAATTTCTTGAACTGAATTTGCAGTGTGGCATTTATCATAACACAGCACAGGGCATAATGAGCTACACATGAATGAACCTGTTTCCTCTGCTAGATGCTGATGAGCTCCTTGAAGGCTGAGATAGCATCATTCATGTTTGTCAACTCAGTATCACAAATATCAAATATACCCAATAAATCCTTACTGAATTAAAAGGAATTTAAATTTTAACTTTGCTATCAGCAGCCCCTCAAAATTTCTTAAGAGTATCTAGATTTCTAGGAACAAGGAGCTTGATATTGGTGTCTGAATGCCAAATCAATTGGGTAATACTGGTATAGGGTAGTTTAAACAAGGAAAGGAGGGGGAGATCCCCCTAAAAAATGGCATGAAGTACATTACAGGTATTCAATCATCTATGAAAAGCAAATATATAACATTAAAATGCATAGTGAGACACTCTTTAAAAAGCTTTTCTCCATTACCTCATCTGAGAATAGCAGTCCCTATATGTGTAAAAGACCAATACATAGAAACCAGTGTCTGCACTTTCCAACAAAGGAAGCAATGCCCATTTATTCTCTGGATTAACTTCTAATATGGAGCTTCTAAGACATAGAAATTTCACTAACTTCAACTGTCTCACCTGCTAAACAGCTACTTTAATTTGTTAATTGAATTTCTAAACTGCAAGCCAAAAATCTATCTTAGTAATGCTAACAGGTAATTTAAGAGAACTTCATGTTCATAATTCAAAAGTCCCCAGTAGTTTCATATTTGACCAAGAAAGGAAAGCAACATAGACCAGGCGCAGTGGCTCATGCCTGTCATCTCAGCACTTTCGGAGGCTGAGGCAGGCAGATCACTTAAGGTCAGGCGAGAGCAGCATGCCTAACATGGTGAGACCCTGTCTCTCCTAAAAATACAAAAATTAGCTGGGCATGGTGGCAGGTGCCTGTAATCCCAGCTACTCAGGAGGCTGAGGCAGGAGAATTGCTTGAACCCAGGAGGTGGAGGTTGCAGTGAGCCAAGATTGCGCCATTGTACCCCAGCCTGGGCAACAAGAGAGAAACTCTGTCTCAAAAAAAAAAAGAAAGAAAGAAAAAAGGAAAATAATCTACATTCAACAAACAAAACAATCTCCTATTCCTATAAACGTGTTTCCTATTGAACCTGTAGTCGTAGTTGATACGCTTACCTGAGATACTCCAGCTCTGGCTTGATGAGCTTTCTTTTGATCACCCCAGTTTCCAGTAGCTAAAGAGTATTTTAGGCCATCAGATATGATCCGTGTTTTAATTGCCAACTCCAAGTTAAAATCCTTTCCTCGATCGATAAATTTTTGTGCATAGATCCGCACTTCTTTAAGTAAATTCTTAAACATACTGCAGAATAAAATGGTATTATTTTAAACATGTAAAGGTCTATAACAAATATTGTCAACAGGACCAATACTGCAAAAAAAGTGTGGGGAAGGCAAGCAAAAATGGTTTGGGCAGAGTGAAAGTTGTTATTGCTCTTTTATGTCTAGTGCACAGACATACGTATAGTATATTAATATATATGGCAGGGGAGCAATTACACAAAAATGTCAAAAGAGGAGGGGCACAGTGGCAATCCCAGCACTTTGGGAGGCCGAGACAGACAGATCACCTGAGGTCAGGAGTTTGAGACCAGGCTGGCCAACACAGAGAAACCCCATCTCTACCAAAAATACAAAAATTAGCCAGACGTGGTGGCACACGCCTACAGTCCTAGCTACTTGGGAGGCTGAGGCAGGAGAATCACTTGATCTCGGGAAAGGGAGGTTGCAGTGAGCCAAGATCATGCCACTGCACTCTAGCCTGGGCAACAAGAACAAAATTCCACCTTTAAAAAAAAAAAAAAAAAAGTCAAAAGAGGCTCCTTAGTGGGGCAGTATCAAAAAAAGGCTGAAAAACACTAATCTATAACATACTAAATAACACAACACATGCAAAACACTGCTAATGTTATCCTTTTTATATTGTCTACATATTTCATTTTTGAAAATATCTTTTTTCCAATTATAGGAAACATGGGAAATATGAAAACATCAAGAATAAAATTAAAAATCGCACATAATACCAACACTGCGAGACTATCACTGATAGTATTTTTAAATATTTCTCTCCAGCTTTTGTATATATGTGTACAAAAATACAAAAGCAGGACAAAATCCAATACCCTTAGGAAAACCAAGGCAATAATTCAGCTTTCTCAAACATCTTACAAAGCTACCAGAGGAATAAAGAAAATATAAACACATAATATATTTTCCTCATAAACTTGGCTTTCCTAGACATGAACCAAAACTAAATCTGAACAAGTAGCAAAAAGAATGTAGCTAACTTTATAAGCACCCAACGTGGGTGCCAATACAGTTTAGCCTGGCCATTTGCGATGACCAATGTCAAGTGAAATAAATCTCCCTGCTTTAACAACTTCATTATGTAATTCCTTACCCTCTAAATAAGAATGCAAGCAGCGGCCCCGCAAGATCCAATCTCTTGTTTCCATAGTGATCTCTGTCGTCTAGTTCTCTTCTACCCAAAGCTGCTAGAAGTAACCTATGAACCATGTATCTTAAAAAAAAGAAAGAAAACAGTTTCAGGCTTTTTTTCTTGACTTATATGTCAAAAACATCATTTTTAACTTTAAGAAAAACCTTTATCTCAACTATATCTTGATAAAGAACTTAAAACAATGAAATTTAACATACCCCAAGAAATAGGCTTTTTTGGTCTCACAAAAATCACTGACACCAACATGAGGGAGCATTTCTTTTTGTAAAACTTCCTTTGCATATTTAATTCTTTTCTCTTTAGTAACACCAGGCTTTGCCCCTCTTGAACCAATGAAATTCAGTGCAACATTCTGTTCTTGGATGACAAAAGCTTCATCAAGAGAAGGTTTAACCTATCAGACAATTTAAATAAAAGTTATTTTCCAATTCATGTTGTTAACTTAAAATGAGTAAACTGACGCTTAGTTTATAACACACCAAGCATCCCTACAAACCTAATAAAATATGCAAGCATTTTTAGAAAATCAAGAAATCACAAAATCTTAGGAGATACCTCAGAGATCTAGAGATCTCTGACGAAATCCACTCATCAGCACAGGTAACTATACTTTCTAGAAAATACAAATAATTCCATTATAAAAAGAGTATTGTGTGGCTCGGAGCAGTGGCTCATCTCATGCCTGTAATCCCAGCACTTTAAGAGGCTAAGGTGAGCAGATTGCTTAAGTCCAGGAGTTTAAGACTTGTCTGGGCAACATGGCGAAACGTTGCCTCTACTAAAACTACAAAAATCAGCCAGCTGCAGTGGCACACGCCTGTAGTCCCAGCTACTTGGGAGGCTGAAGTGAGAAAATCACTTGAACCTGGGAGGTAGAGGTTGCAGTCAGCTGAGATGGTGCCACTGCACTCCACACTGGGTGACAGAGACCTTGTCTCAAAAAAAAAAAAAAAGAGAATGTTTTTTTTTTACATTTTACCAATGGCAAAATAAAGTTCCAGAAATCTAAAATCAATTTACAGAAGTTTCATAGTCAAATTAAAATTCACTGAACTACAAATGGATAAATGTGCCAGACTGTTTTCAGTTTGGGTATTAAAAAATGTTTAGCCTGGGTGGGGTGGCTCACTCCTATAATCCTAACACTTTGGAAGGCCAAAACAGGAGGATGGCTTGAGCCCAGGAGTTCAAAACCATCCTGGAAAAGAAAGTAAGAACCTCAATCTACAAAAGAAAAATAAATTTGTAATCAGTGTGCACCCTGGATATAAAAAAAGATTTAAATTAAACCCAATATTTTGCAAAGGAGACTATTTTTATTTTATTTCATTTTTTGAGACAGGCTCTCACCCTGTTGCCCTAGCTGGAATGCCGTGGTGAGATTCTGGTTCAATGCAGCCTCAACCTCCCAGGCTCAAGAGATCCACCTCACTCTCCCAAGTAGCTAGGAGTACAGGCAACACCACCACATCCAACACACCCAACTATTTCTTCTTCTTTTTTTTAAGAGACAGAGTCTTGCTTTGTGGCCCAGGCTGGAGTACAGTGGCACAATCTCGGCTTACTACAACCTACGCCTCCTGGGTTCCAGTGATTCTCGTGCCTCAGCCTCCTGAGTAGCTGGGATTATAGGCATGCATCTCCACACCCAGCTAATTTTTCATTTTTTGTACAGACGGGTTTCTCCAAGTTGCCCAAACTGGTTGCCCAAGCTGGTCTCAAACTCCTGGCCTCAAACAATCCACCTCGGCACTCAAACAATCCTTTCAGCACTCGGCTTCCCGAAGTGCTGAAATTACAGATGTAAGCCACCATGCCAGCCCAAAGGTTTTTTTTGTTTAGTTTAGTTTTGTTCTGTTTTTTTGAGATAGAGTCTCGCTCTATCTCCCAGGCTGGAATACAGTGATGCAATCTCGGCTCACTGCAGCCTCAGCCTCCCGGGTTCAAGCGATTCTCCTGCCTCAGTCTCCTGAGTACCTGAGACTATAGGCGTACACCATAATGCCCAGCTAATTTTTGTATTTTTAGTAGAGATGGGATTTCACCATGTTGGCCAGGATGGTCTTGAACTCCTGACCTTGTGATCCGCCTGTCTCAGCCTCCCAAAGTGCTGGGATTACAGGTGTAAGCCACCGTCCCCAACCCAAAGGTTATTTTAAAAGCATACTGTGAAAGAGACCTGCATTCCATTCCTGCCACTATCTGTGGCCTCTGAGAAGGCATGTAATGGATTTCGTATCTACAAAAGGGTTACATAAAATAATTTCTAAGTTGCACACCAATTCTAATATTCTAAATTCCCAACTATACACAATAATGAACACGAGAAATAACTCTGACCTCTGTAAGTACCCTTTGATCTTATCCCAGGCACTGAAATGCCTTTCTTGCCCTTGATTTCCTGTCTTTTTATCACTGATCCATAAATTTTTTTAAAGACAGGTAGAGGACCCAAGGGTCAAACAAAAATATGAAACACTTCTCAAATTTGTATATCATCCTTATACAGAGGTGTGTTAACCTCTATATTGTTCCAATATTAGTATATGTGCTACAAATGCAAGGACCATTCCACAAGTTTAAACATCAAAATTCCAATCAAGGAATCAAAGATCAGAAAAAAGCCCTGTAACCAGTCAAAGCAAGGCCACAGATAGTACTGTAAATCAAAGGGATACTTTTTTAAAGGAAATTGCCATTGTTGTTAAAAAAAAAAACTATTATGTTAAAATATAGATTAGAAAAAAAGGAATAACAATAATAATGTACTTCTGGAAGAAAAAAAGCAGTTTTATGAAGTGAATGCTTGAAAAAAAAAAAAAAAAAAATTGGCCTAAGCTTCCTAAGTGCTGAAAAAACAAACAGTAATACTCAAAGAGATAACATACATAATGCATATCATATTTTTCACTTTACTATGTAAACTTCAGGTTGGGGCTGGGCACTGTGGCTCATGCCTGTAATCCCAGCATTTTGTGAGGCTGAGGAGTGTGAACCGTTTAAGCTCAGGAGTTTAAAGTCAGCCTGGGCAACATGGCAAAACCCCTTCTCTACCAAAAATACAAAAAGTTAGCCAGGCATGGTGGTGCATACCTGTGGTCCCAGCTACTCAGGAGGCTGAGGTGGGAAGATTACTGGTGCCCCGGAAGTCGAGGCTGCAGTGAGCCATGATTTCATCACTGCACTTCAGCCTGGGTGACAGAGCGAGACCCTGCCTCAAATAATAATAATAATAATGAGGCATATAACTACTAGCAAAATCTGAAAGTAAAATCTAACCAGAACCCATTTTTCTCATGTAACCACACCAACGAATATTCAAATAACTAAAATGTACTCCCCATTCTAACTTTGTGACAAAGATTTCGCCTGAAGTTTACCTTATTTCTCTGTAGTCTTAAACACTCTGGACAATTTAAGACAACTTTAAGAATATCATTTACTGTTCAGACAAGGAACATCAAGGGAAAAAACTGATAAGGAATTAGAATATTTAACCCCAAAAACCCTTCCCATAAAAGGTTCTCACAAAAGGAGTAACCTTACAGTGGAGGCACCTAACAGACACGACCGTGAAGCAATCAAAGTTAACTGTACCACTAATGGGGCAAAATGACATTGCATGGCTCTTGAGATGCTCTGGGAAGCACATATTTCTTAGGCATTTTTTCTGTTAAAAAATGAATAAACTGAAACTAATCATGGGGAAATTATGTGAAAAACTCAACTGAGGACAATTCTACCAAACAAACGGCCTGCCTTTATATGTTATGAAAGACAAAGAAAGGCCAAGGAGGCCGGGCATGGTGGTTCACGCCTGTAATCCCAGCAGTTTGGGAGGCTGGGGCAGCAGATCACTTGAGATCAGGAGTTCAAGACCAGCTTGGCCAACATGGTGAAACCCTGTCTCTGCTAAAAATACAAAAACTAGCCAGGTGTGGTGGTGTGCGCCTATAATCCCAGCTATTGGGAAGGCTGAGGCAGAAGAACCCTTGAATCCAGGAAGTGGAGGTTGCAATGGGCTGAGATTACACCACTGCACTCCAGCCTGGATGACAAAGTTAAGACCTTGTCTCCAAAAAAAAAAGGCCAAGGAAAGATTTTTAAAGACTTTAAAAGACACACAAACAAAATGCAATGCATGATTATGAATTGGACTGTGAACTATATAAGGTATTAAACTTGGCCAGTCACAGTGGCTCACGCCTGTAATCCCAACACTTTAAGAAGCAGAGGTG